AAGGGTTAACACAATAAGTTTTGAATAAAATTACTTTATAGATCGCGTTCCGGCTAAAGGCGCACCCCGCCCACAGCCGCCAACAAGAGCTGCCACTGGGGATGCATTCTGTGGCCGCCTGCTTGCATATCAGTCGAGCGTTGTGTTTGGCCCTGGCTTGCATATGGCACATAAGCGCGCATTCAATACAAACATGCAGCATACACACACACACATGTATTGGCTGCACCAAATAAACTGATAAACTGATTGCAGCCGCAGTTGAACGTATTGGGGCGGGGCAGAGGGTCTTTAAATGTGTGAAGGGGTGGGCTGGGTAGGGGGTAGGTGTGCCGGAGGCTTATGGGTAGTGTGGGGACTGAAGGGCGGGCGCAAAGCATCCAAGCGAAACCGAAACAGTAGCAAAATTTATAACCAAAAGGGGAATTACAAAGTCGCATATAAATTTATGTATAACAAGACAAAGAGCTTAAACACGTGACGAACTTTTAATACCCTGTAATTAAGCTGCCAGAACAGATTAATTTTTTTGAAATATGCCTTTTGTGGTAAGTTTTATGAAGATGACCCCATTGAAAGCTATGATCCGATGAATGATATAATAATAATCGACGTATCATCGATTAACTATCGATGATAAATAGAATTTCGATTAAATAATTGCTTCGGAAATGTCTTCTCTTACGCGTAACAAAATCAAAATACTCTCTGGAAGTACATAAAATAAGCACGTATATGTGTGTTTTTGAATATGTGCGCGTGTGTGTGAGTATGTGGCAACAAAGATGTGACGATAAAATAGATTTCGATATCAACGGCGACACGCGGCGCGGCGCGGCGCTTCAAATGAAGTGCGAATGTGCTGGAAGTCGCTCACATGTGTGTGTGTGTGTGAGTGTGTGTTTGTGTGTGGCTGATTGCGGTTGTGATTTTCGCTGAAACTCTATTCACCCATAATTTACTCGCTTTTTAAATTTTGCCATTGGCAAAACACACACACGCACACCCGCACAGACAAAATATCAATTTCAGTGAAAATGCAAATTCCAAAATTGAAAGAACTGTTTGGTGGAGCAGCAGGAGCAGCAGGAGTAGGGGGAATTGGGTGTCGTTTTGGGGAACGGGGCACAGCTCAGAAGCTGCTGCGGATGGCAAACTGTTTATGGCTGCCGCCTCGACGCGCAGCGAGCAGATTGTTTCCGCAGTTGTAGACTTTTGGCAGGCGTCAGAGCACAATACACACACACACACACCAGCACACACGCACAGATTCTAGCCAGCACACACACAAAGTCCAATGAGTCGGAAGTAAGTGCGAGAATTCGTAGATTTTTCTTGTCTCCTGCAAAATGCTTACTACACTTCGCAAAATTGTGGGCTTCGGCTGCGGTTCGTTGGATTTCCTTTAAAAAATACTTTAAAATTAATTTCAACATTTTGCTGAACATTTTAATATTTTAATCATAGATCTTATATTAATTCTTCTTAATTAAGACCAAATTCGTTTTAATTTCTTATAATCTAGTCGAAATTTTGTGCTGTGTAGCTGTGCCTCTCTCTTGCACTTGCAATAAAGCTTGCCTAACGCGTGCTCTCTGTCATTTTCACAGCTCAGTGTCTGCACCTTTAAAAGAGCCGCCCCACGCCCACAACCGCCCCCACGCCTACATCCACGCCCAACCAAGGCCCTGCCGAAGTCGAAGTGTTAATTTACGAAATTGCTGCAGATTTCATTGAGTTAAGAAGTTGCTCGCCGAGTTGTGTGTGTGTTTGTGCCCCAATCTTCTCCCATTCCCCTCCCTCACACAGCTCTTGCATTTATTTATGCATGTAAATGTTCACACACACACACACACACACATGCGCGCACACAACACGTTAACATCCACCTGGCCCTTTTGCACTTGCGCCATTTCCACTAGTTTTATTTTTAACTCGTATTTAACTCTGTGGGGTGAGGGGGGGGGGGGGCCCCAGCCACACCCACTGCATGTTTATGGTGTCTGCTGCTATCAGAGCGCTTCGATCTTGCTAAAATGGAAATTTACACGTTAACACTTTTGGCCGCTTGTAAGTGATTTGGTTTTAATTCGCTTGATGGCGTCTGTGTTGCACCCCATTCCCTCCCCTTCGGCCCGCTCTCCCTAACAGCCAATCCTGGCCAGAAGAACTATGTCAGAACGTTTGCGGCCGCACGGCAAAAACAACAACAACAACAGCAGCGGCAACTGCTGCCCAACAGACTCGTCCTTTGGGGCTGTGCTCATGTGTGCGCTTTACATATACATAGATGACTGTATAAGTACACTGGGAGAAAAGCCCCAGCAGAACTAGCATGGAATAAACTTGAAGATATACTGTTCACGCTGCCTAGCTGCTTTGCTAAACCTTCTGAGCATACATATACCCTTCCTATTTTCTTCACCTGTGTATGGAACCTGATTGTTGATTAACTTCGGCTCTTAAAGTCCGATCTTTTTGAAATTTTCAGCTCCGCTGTCCGTCAGCAGAGGTTACACTGTACTAAGAAATATTTGGGAATTGGGAGTAGGAATCTCTGGTTAAGAACTGAATTTTGGAGTTGTTTCAGACACTCTGAGACTTTTCTCTATCTTTTATTTATCTTTTTTATAATCTTTTTTCGCTGAGTGTATATGTTTATGTGTTTATATATATATGTGTGTGTGTGTGCCTTCTGCCGTGTTGCAAGCTCGTAGGCGTGCCGCACAGTCTTTAGTCTATGTTAATTTTTGGTTGTGCTCATGTTTCTTGCTTTCGCCTGGCCAGCTGGCAGTTGTTATTGTTGTTGTTGTTGCCACATGCCACATGCCACATGCCACTTGCCACTTGCTACATGTTACTCGTTACTTGTTAGTTTCTGTCCTCGTTTATGATGCCAGCCAGTTGAATAAAAGAATGGTCTGCTGATAAAAACTCAACAGCTTGGATAGCGCTTCGAGCACACATTCGAATTCAACGACAGGCCAGATCCTCGGCTCCACGCCTCCACACCACTCTTCTTCCGCCCCTTGTGGCACAGGCTAAACATTTGAAATTCACATGAGCCTCCGAGAGGCAACGTCTAATGCGCTGTGGCCACAAACAGGCGGCGAGGCGGCTTCCGTCCAGCCGACCAGGCTCGAGAAATTTACATAGGAGTGGCACGGAAAAATGTGTCGAACTCCAAAGCCGTGTCAAGGCAATACAGGCAGAAGAAAAAGAAGAAGACGAAGCAGATAAGTCGAATGCCACGCCCACTCTACCTGCCTTCGGTTATACAAGCTGTCCGGCACTTTGTGGCCTTAGAGATGAGGCACAGTTGTCCCTCTTCACAGCTTATCGATTCATTTGCTATCATTGTTCGATATTGTTGTTATCGATTTTTTGTCATTCAACAATATATTTGCTTTCTGTTTTGCTATAAACTGATTTTTCATTCAATTACTTGAATATTAATTTTTATTACTTTTTGTTTTTGTTTGTCTTTTCTTGACATTAAAATAATGTAGAATTAAATTGTGTGCTTTATTTGTTTATCGATAGCGTTGTCATCAGCCCTGATGTTATCGACACATTTTGCTTTATTTATTGTTTTTCAATTATTGCTTTCCAATTAGAATATCCTCAGAGACTGATTTTGTTAAGAGCTCGGTTCATATTAGAAATACATATATGTATATGAAACCTATCACAGCTACACATACCGAGAGATATTTGCCACAAAATCCGTGTTGTTTTAATTATCGGGCCATCAAAAATCGCAACGCCGAGAAAAGGACTCACCAGGACGACCAGAACGAATGCGATGAGTCGTCTATCAAACATTTCTCGCATTGCCGCGAGCGCAATTTATTGAGTTTTGCTTGTCTTTCAGCTAAAGAACTTGCAGTAAAATCTTTGGGGATACTTCTCTTCATTTTTTTTTATATATTATTTGGTTCGCCTGTCGCTTATCTAACGGTCTATTTGTTGGGACTGTTTTTGGCTGTTTGTTTGTTTTCACAGTCTAAGGCGACAATCATGCGAAATTACATAGCCCCCCGGGGGCGGGTTGGGGACATTTGTGGGACATTTCGGTGTTTAACTAAATCAAATCGATATCGAATTTAGTTGTCAACGCGGCGGACTTTTTTTCGTTCTCGTTTTTTTTTGCAGTATGTCAAATTGTAAATGATTCCGTGTGTTGGGCTAGCGTGTGGGCGGAGGCGTGGCCGGGTAGAGGGCAAGGCCAGAAGGGAGCTTTGTGGGTTCTTCGGTTTCAATTTCGCTTGAACTTGCGGGGCAAGCATTCCCGCCACGCCCCGTTACAAATGAAATGCGAAACACAAGGCAAAAGCTTGCAGAAAAAACTTGTGTCTTGTTTTTGGCAGATCCTCAATGCCCCCGGGTTGCGGGTTGCGTGTCGAGTTGGCTTTCCCCGTCCTATAAAAATATGTTTTTCTTTTGTTTTGGCCAACTGTCTGTCTGTCTGTCTCTTTGTCTGTGCGTGTGACCGCATGGCAAAAAGCCACAGGTTATGAGTTTTTCATTAGGTTCTCACATTGCAGGGCAGACAAACGGAAATGGAAACAGGGCCATAACCAGAACCAGAACCAGGGCCAGACAGAGGCCATTACGTTTATGTGACTTTTGTTTAGCTCCTTGGCAAGACACCAAATTGTAATTGTATCCACAGAAACTGTATTAAAGAGCATTTAAATAAACATTTAAGACTTTAAAAAATAAACAAAAAACAAAAAAAAAATATTGTGGAAAATTAATAATTAATATAATTAGTTGCAATAAATAGTGGCCACAAAATTGGTTAAGTTGCCACCAACGCCATACTTTTACCAAAAGGACATCAAATTTAATTCAATTTCAAAACATTTAATTAATTTGAATTTAAAAGCTATTGTGAATACTAGAAAACGGTTATGCTGTAAGCTAACATGCGGTTCGGCTGTTAACTCGTTAAGAACTGTTAAAAAGTATCGATGCCGCCAGTTTCGATCGTGAGTCTCCGTAAAGTGTGTCGGCAAAAGAGTGTTTAATTCAAATATGTGAAAATAATTCGTTTTGGAGTGTGTTACAAGTTTATAAAGTTAGTTATTAAGTGTTGGCATATGTGTTTAATATCGCGATACCTTCAAAGCTGTTTATTTCATGTGCATATCGTGTTTAAATTTGGTCTATTTTTTTTCCACGTAAAAGCGCGCGCGTTTGGTGGCCGAAGTGTCCCGATTGGATCGAAGTTATTTGTGCTCAAATGTATGTATGTGTGTATGCATGCATGTCTGTGAATGTGCTTATGTGAGTGTGTGTAAAACAGCTGGCCCCAGCAAAATGTTAAGGACAACAACAACAAAGCAAAAAGCGCAACAAAGGAGATAACGAAATGCTGGGACACAAAACTAAACACGCACCAGGTATGTTAATGTTTGCAGTTGTCATACATGTGTATATATATGTGTGTGTGTGTGTGTGCTAAAAGGGTCAAAGGGGGCAGCTATGCGGCAAAAAGTTTATGAGCCCCTAAAAGTGCATAGTTATGTGTGTGTATGTGTAAATGTGCCATGTTTTCTAGCATCAAAGTAGGAGAATTAGGGGAACATTTAGTTCGGGAATATTGCAAAATTGTGTTCGAAGGGAAATTGTTGACGCCGTCCGAAATGTTTCGCCCGGTCGCATAATTCGCGGTCACAATTAACCGCAGGGCGGGGCCAAATCGGCTATTGTAATTGAAATTCCAGCAACATTTTAGGGCACGTAATTTGATTTTAATGTAAGCTGGAAAAAAAAGCCGAACAGTGCAATTGTTGAGTGTGCACGACTAGCAGATACGCTGTGTGTATCTTCAAGTTGTCGTCACTAATAATTAACTATATTGTTATAGCCAAATTGTTTTTTTCAAATTTTGAAGTTTCTAACTCGGCCTTATCATACAGACGATTGGACTGACAGATGTTTACCCAGGATATATGCACTTTATATGCCTCTTCTTATGCCTCCTTTTGCCTGCTACATACAGTTGCTAAACTGCAATATACCATTTTTCGACCATTTGCAGTGGGTACAGGGTATCAAAAGGCGCAAAAGAAGAGATAACAAGAAGAAGCACACATGCGTTCGGCGCTTTACATGTGACCAGCTAATGGCCCCAAAAAGCTGTTTCACGTTGATTGCAGCAAATGCCTTTAACGGGCAAAGAGCGGCAGTGGGTGCGTTAGGTGGAGGGAGGGGGGGGGGGGGGTGTAGATTGAAGTGGAAGCTGGTGTGGTACAGGTTAGGGTATGAGTGCTGGGTCGGAAAGCATCCGGAACACTTTGTGCAATTTAGCTTTTGGCCAAAGTCATTAAGTTTGATGTTAAAATCCACTGCGCGTTCCCGGCTCGTTCCTGACTCGGTACCGGCTCGGGTCTGGCATGTCAACTGTCGGGCGGACTGGCTTCAGTCAGATTTACAGTCAGTCAGTCTGTCTGTCTGTGTCCACGCCAGTCAGCCGGGTCCGTCAGCCAGTGAGTCGGCCAAAACGCGGATGCATTACAAAGGACATCAAGTTGGAATATTGAGTTTTGTGCGTAACAAAGAAAAGCGCATACAAAGCCGAGCGCAAAATAAATGCTTCTTTGTTGGACGCGGCGGTGGGGAGAGTTGCCACACCAGGCCAGAAAAACCGGAGCTAGCGCAGCAAAAAAAAATAAAATAAAATAAAAAAAATTGAATTACATGCAAGCCAGCGGCAACGGCTTCTACTAGAATCCGCGCCCTACCCCCGCCCACAACTCAAGTTACCGCAGGCGCAAAACTACACTGATTGCGCGTGTTGGGCAGGGGGAAGGGGGCTTGCGCGTATGGGCGTGGCTGCCGCGGATATGATAAAGCAGCGGCATAAAAATAAGTAGAGGAGCAACAACAGCGCACAAGTAAAATGCACAAGCAGCAACTCCTCGGAACCGACCCCCCCCCCCCCCCCCCCCCACGCTCTCTCTACCACCCACGCCGGTTGCTCTTCCTGCGTGTTTTTTTTTGTAGCTTCATAAAAAATTTCCCAAGCGGAAATGCAATTTAATTAAAAATGTCCTGCTGCTGGCTGGCGCTCGTGCTCGCTCTTTGCTGCTGCTTCTTCTTCTTCTACTTTTCCCTGTGCTCCAGCACGTTCCACTCCTCGAACTGCTGCTCTCCCCTCCCCCCAGCAGCAGCTGTAGCTGAAGGCGCGTCTCTTTCAGCTGCCGCCCCCTTGTGCCCTCGGGCAACTACTTGGCTCACAGTTGTAGGCAAACATGATGAATCTGTTCCACAGATTTCCCGCTGGACAAAAGTGCCAACCAGTTGGCGGCCTTCTGGTCCCCTCCAGCCTGTTTGTCCTCCTCCATGTGCTAACCAAATCCTTTAAGATAAAAAGCTCGAGATAAACAGGCGGCTGTTGAAATGCTGCAAAATTAAATGACCAAAGCAACACAACCAGCTTTTCCTCACCCTTTTTTCCCCAGTCGCACGCCCACACGCGACGCCCTTCCGCCCCGCCCGGCGACTATCCCAACTGCATTTAAGTAAATTACCATACTCAATTAACGTTATACTTATTAAGCGCCCGCTCGAATCCAATCAGACTGTGAAAAGGCCATAGAAAACGAAGTTAGCTCCAGGGCCGCAAGGCACAGGATTTCTTCTTCCTTTTTTTTTTGTTTTTTATCCAAATGCAAAAACGAAATTAGCTGTCCATTCACGAGAGCAACAATGGCTCCTTTGCCTGCAATATTTTTTGGGGCCAGGCACGCAAAAGAACTGCTGAATTAAACAGACTGTGTGTACTGAATGACTGACCGAGCCATGAAGCAAGAAGTCACTGGTTCCAATTCAGCGGCAATTTGTCATTTGACCTATACATATATACATCTTAAACGGTTCTAGTTGTCTGATTGATTGACTGATAACGCCTAAATTGGGGTTTTTTAATTTGTGTATATAAGGTGTCTGAGAGAAGTCGTTGGATCAAATTCAGTTGTAATTGGCAATTGAACTTATAGATATTGACCGACTGATTATCTGAATGAAGACACAGAAATATATATATTACTAATATGATTGACTCATTTCTTAATTGACAGCCCAAACATAATGCCTAATTATACCCTGAATCCATTAAAAATGGGTATAAAGGTATTTTATATTTGTGCAAAATCCAAATGTATGTAACAGGCAGAAGGAAGCATCTCCGACCCCATAAAGTATATAAACTCTTGATCAGCATCAATAGCCGAGTTGATTTAGCCATGTCCATCTGTCTGTCCGTCTGTCCGTATGTATGAACGCAGGGATCTCAGAACCTATAAGAGCTAGAGACGACATTTAAATGTAGGTGCTCCTAGTTCCCGCGCAGATCGAGTTTATTTCCGAAAATCCATAACTTACTCCGTTTTCAAGCAATAGTTTCTAAAATAGAATATATATATGCATTCGATGTTGGAAGAAGAGGGTTCAGGGTATTATCTGGTCGAGAGCTCCCGACTAGAACACTTACTTATTTAGATCTTGAATTTGTGTTTGCTAGAAATCGCTGGTTCAAACACAGCAGTAATGGCAGATTTAGGATTATATGAAACTCTTCTGGTTAACTGATTATTTGACTGATTAATGATCAACGTAAAGCCCAAACTTACTTTGGTTATTTAATTTGTGGGTCTAGAGTGTTTGCGCGTTGAACTAAGAAACGAAAATAATTGTGTAATTTTTACATATTGATTACAATTTGGTTTTATTTGCAAAGAAAGTACAAAATAAAAAATCAAAAATTAAATATGATTTTAAAAGAAGCTTTTTTATAAAAATCACTACAAAACTTCTGCAAGGGTATTTAAACTTCGGCGACCCGCAGATAGCATTTGTTAATTGATCACACAAATTTTATTTTTTTTTTTGTGTTTTTCATTTATATTTTTCGACTGTTTATTAACGCTTTTCACACCGCAGCAGCAAATGTGTTTGTAATAATTCAAAATTAGTTTTGTTATTGTTAACGGCACCTGTTGCTGTTGTTGTTGTTTTTTTTTGTTCTTGTAAACTTGCTTGTTTACATGCAAATTTAACACGCCAAACAAATTCTGGCAATGTGTTGCTTTTGTTGTCGTCACTTTCAATATCGATGCCAACAATTGTTGGCTGTAAAAGATGTGCAAGTGGGCGGCCTTTAATGACCACGCCCACGCCCACAACACACAGCACGTCAGCTGCTTGCGGTTGCCCAAAAATCTCAATACAGTTCATATCCGTGCGGCTCAGCTGTTGTCCTTTATGTGTGTCTGTGTGTCCTTTCAATTTAATTATCCCATTACTTGAGGTCAAGTGTGGCCCGTTTCCCCCATCGCACAGCCCCCCCTGCCATGCCCAGCAATCAGTTATTTGTTGTTTGCACAGTTTTCATGACTGTTAATCGAATTAGGCAGAAGGCAGGACCTTGCCGCAGCCACGACTGCTGCCTGAATCAGGCTTTAATTCAATTTTGGTGGCCATTTGGTTGCCCATTTTTTTTTTGTTGCCTGCGCCTCTGTGTGCGTGTGTTTGTGTGTGGTCGCTGCGGCATATGGCGCTCATTATGGCGCATCGTCCGGGAGACTTGGCCTCGGCCGGCAGGATGCGCCCAGCTGCATTCAGGCCAGGCCGAGCCGGGCAAATCTGGCGCTTTTAACGCTGCCATTTCGGCCGCAAGCGCACTTTTGTTAATTACGCAAAAAAACCATAACAGCAACAGGGCTTACGAAACAGAACACAACACAAACTCATCCCAGCCCAGTCCAGACCCGGCCCAGTCCCCACTCCACCCCCTTGCCAGCAGTTTATTGAACTTAATTGCGTGCAATAAGCCAAACGTGAAATCGAATCCTATCGAAACGTGCAGTCGCCAAATGCACAATGATTGCCCCAGACTATTGGATATATCAACTTATATAGACTGCATGCGTGTATCTGTGTGTAAGTGTGTGCATGTATCTGTGTGTAAGTGTGTGCGTGTGAATAATGGCGGGCGCTTATTAAATTATCATGGGCGGGGTGTGTGCTTCTCGACTGAAGGGGGGTTAAAGTCGGGCTTTTTGAGTTGTATTATCGAAACGTACTATCGATTATTGTCTGAGCAACAATATCGTTGTTGTTAATCGATAACTATGTTATTTATCGATGAATCCTATTTTCATTTTGAGAAATCAAATATATGCTATTCAAAAGGTCACCTTTCCCTTTTCAAATTGTATTAGTTCTCAATTAATCTAACCAAGAGTTTATTCAGCTTCCTTTACTCTTAACTCTGTATCCTCATCTGGACTACAACCATGGCAATTGTTCAACCTTTCTTTCGTATTATTTGCATTTAATACACAATTTTTACATGCATTTCGTTATTGCGCTTTTGTTGATGCGCTACCTTAAATTGAATTACCACCCCGGGCCTGCCATTGCAATCAGCTCGATATATATGCATTAATAAATTGAATATGTGTATATAATATTTTCTTAAAGAAACCTGAGTCCTTGTCCGATTCAAGTAAATAGCGCCTAGAATCCGCGCCCACTTCAAAGATAAACAAGTCCAGATATGTTCTCAACAGGCGTCTATGCTTACGCATATTTCGAGACATATATCTGTCATCTCTATATGCAATAATGGTTGATTTCAACCCATGGCTCTTTATTCGATGCACCTAAGACATTACTACAAATATAAGTAAAGATCAAGATTGGTAGAGTTCCATTTTTCACGGGCGTGTACGAAGTGGAAAGTACGCGTTAGTTTAATATATGTATAACAAATAATTGTCCTTCTTCTGCTTACCAGTCAGGACAAGGAAAATATGGAAGTCATACAGATCTTACATAAATTATGTATTATAGCATTAAATGCGTTTTGGTGGGAATCACCCGCTGTCTGCCGTGCGTGTGCTGACACTTTTTGTATGGAATTTAATCAAGTGGGCGTCCTGCTGTGGCTCTCTCTGTGTTTGCAGCTGTTGCAGCTGAATTATGCCGTACTTTTGTTGCATTATTGAATTAAAATGTTCGGCCTAAAATGCAATATACCAAGTTTTTTGTTGTTGTTTTTAGCAAGCTGTGAAAATTGTTTTGTGCGTTTTAATTGAATTAAAAACGGGCTTAGCAGAGCAAAGCTCAAACGTAAATAATTGATGAGCCATTAGAAAACAATTTGTTTTCTGAAAAGTGCCGAACTGTAGGCAATGGCAATGTCCCAATGAAGGCAATCAAATTAATTATCATTCGAAATGGTCAAACAATCGACTGGATGGAGGGAAACTTGACCAAATTGTGGCATGTCAATCAGTTTATACTAATGCACATTTATATGTATGTTATATCAGACAATGTGCGCTCGAGAACATGTCAAAAGGAAATGAGCCCTGGGTGAGCAGCTACAACTAAAGCCACCGTTCATAAATGAAGCTCTGGATGTGGCCATGGAGATGACAAACTGCAAACTTGAATGCAATTTCCGTAATACGCGGCTCTGGCAATAGGACCAACGGCGCATGAATTTAATTGCCAAACTTGACACTGTGACATAAACTCAGATATTTTGTGGCATAAATTAATTGCGTAATACAGAGGGAAGAGTTTGCGGGTATAGATATTCGCTTAAAGTTCCCATTAGATAGGCAAAAGGCAAGGGTAATAAAAATTACGAAGTAAACTAATTGTTTTGCTGCTGTTTTTCTTCTGATACTACTTACCAGCTACATCTCATGTTAATATTTCTATTATAAACATAACAGTTACCTTTTGTTACCTTTATCATAAAATCTGCCTTTCACAGCTATGACAGTTTGAATGATACTGGTTCTTTGAAGCGAACAACATCTTTCTTCAGCTATTAACAGCTGTTACTAACAGCTGCCGCTCATGTTACATAACATAAAAACCGTCTTTAACAGCTATTATACTTAGTTCATATGATACTGGTTCTTTGCAGTGAAAGAGTTTTTCTCTTAACAGCTTATCTTAACTAATATTTGTGTTACATAACAGTGTTAACAGACATATAAATGTCTGCTACAGCATTTAATAGAATTTCTACAAGAAAAAATGTGCATTTAGCCCACAGTACAGCATTAGCCAAGTTGTAGGGAGAGACGAAGACGTTAGCTGACTCTGATTGTGAGTGTGTGTGTGCGTGTGCGTGTGTTTGTGTGTCTGTGTGAGTGTGTCAGTGTCGTGTTCGTATGCTGTTGTCACTCTTGCTGCAATGTTAATCAACTTCATTACCACAAATTGCTATTAGCATATGTTAGTGTGGCGCCACAGACATTGCAGCAACAGCAAAAGCAGCGCAAAGACGCAGCCAGTAGATGCGAGTGGAGAAAGGTCGGGGACAGGCAGAGTGGGGGCACAGCTGGAACACACAAATGCACTTGACTGTCAGCAATGGCTGGCTGGCAAACAAGATCAAATGATGCAATTATAGGGGGCCCGTTCGCCTGGACTGCGTCTCACGTGTCCTGACGACGGACGCCAGCAAAGTCAACGCTGGATCGAAATCGACCGCCGCGTAATATAATTAAAAAGCCATTAGCCGCAAATAGACAACGGAGCCAACCAGCAGCAGCAGCAGCAGCAGCCAACCTTGAAACTAAGCAGTAGGCAGCGGGGGCACGGCTCAAGTCAGCTTTGCTGTTGTGGCCAACAATTTTTCGTTATTTTTTATATTTTGCCAACGCCATTAAATGCGAACCGACGGCTGCCATCGCCATAAATTATAAGTCATTGGTCGAACGTGTCCGGCGTCCTCGTCGGCCGGCATTAATATCCCCAACATGACGATGACTTTGAGTGAATGCTTCAAATTAAAAAGAAATTTACCATTTACCCCAAGCCCCAAGCGCCCACCCTCTGTATTTTGACCGGCGGCTGAGCGGCCCCAAGCCATCCCTGTGGAAGGGGGGGGGGGGGGGGGTTGGAGGATTAAAGCGGCAACCACCCCGATCGCCCGTTACCAGCGCCCCGATCCGTCCCGCCCCCCTCCGGCTCGCCCTGGCATCTTTAGCCATTGGCAATGACAGCACGAAAAAAAAAAAGTCAGCTTAGCAACTTGGAGCTGGTACAACCACTCGCACACACACCCACTCACACACACACACAACCACACACACGGCGTATACGTAATGTATCAAAAGTTGGCCCTGTGCGTGTGTTTAGTCTCTGCTGCTGCTGCCGCTGCTGCTGATTCTGCGTTAGCCACATCATCGACGGACCAGCAATAACAACAGCTAAGAAGCTGGAGTGTTTGACTTACCCGACTGTAAGATACTCTGTAACTGACATACAAATAGCAAACATACTTTTGACAATACTTTTTCATTACGTCATTTCGTTTATTTTCAAAAGTTAGTTACTTTTGTTTGCATTCTCCGAGAAATAAGTGCTCTTATATAATCTTAAGTAATATACCCGAGTTCTCTTTCTGCACAGAGCATAAAATGATTACAGCCAACTAATGACGCTGTCTAAAATGATTTATCTCGTTATGGCGTCAGGCAGTCGGGCAAAATGCTCGTGTTGCTGTTGCTGCAACAAAAGTCAACGTGAAAAAGAGCAACTTCTACGGCTAGGGCCATAATTCAAACGTGTTTATGATATATACGGCCGATTTGCTGCGTATCCTGTACAAGTCTACATGTGTGTGTGTGTGCTGTAAGAAGCGGACTACATTCATTATTATTTTTCTTTTTTTTATATATATTCCCAAGGACTAAAGGCAGCTTAAATTGTGATAGAAATCAAACAATATTTAAGCGGTTGGGGTTTTGGGAAGAGAACTCTGAATAAAGTACACGACGGTTTAATGCCAGTCCGAGCACTATTTAATATGAAGTCCCCGACACAGACACATACACATACACTCCGACACACAGTCTTATAGTAGAGTACACCCCGGCAAAGCGTATTAACATGCTGACCAAATAACCAAACTACGACACAATTTGTGTACCCTTTAGCTTTGGGTTATATCACTGTTGACATTGTGGAGAAGTTGTTTGAGTAGGACATAATCAGACATAGCATATAAGTAATTTTTGGGTACGTATTTAAATAAAGCGAAAGTTAAGTATGATAATACAATATGATAAAAGATAATTTCGGATAAATGCCATAACATATAAAAAATGTCTTCTTCTTTGGTGTTTAAATTATCTAACATTTTATATTTTTCTGCTTCATTTCAATTACTTGCATTTATGTGGATTTTTTGTCACCTTTGTTAAAGGTATTCTTATATTTATACTGTTTTTTAAATTTACTTATTTCTATAGGCAAGTTCTTTTATACTTTTGCAATCTCAAGTTGAAAGTTAGTAACTTGCGTTTCTAATCTAATTACAGGCAATTTAGGCGCGAGCGTGGTAAGTGATATATACCATACGTTTATTATTTTATTATTATATATAATTTTTATATAATTATTATTTATTATTTATATATTACACTTTTTTATTTATTTACTTTAAAATTTAACTCACGCGCGTAGTCGATAAAAAGATACAAAGAAATGCAACGCTGTAAACGTGTTATCGAAAACAAGTACAAAGTGTATCCCCGATTAAAACATTCCGCATAAAAAAAACACGTCTTTCTGAAAACTACTTGAAATAAATCAGAAATCATTAATTGCTACTGCCGCGTACGTATAAGTAGAACTTAGAGATGACAAAGCACACGATAAACGATAACGATAACGATAACTTTTAAGATGCGAAATTCGCAATAAATTATGAAGAGAATAGCTTTTTTCACAAAAGCTGAATGCAATGAAAGATAATATTACAGTTAAAATTGAAATTGTATTTATTCCCTTCCAACTACAGTCCAAAGCGTGGGTTCAGTCAATTAGAGTTGTTTTGAAGAGCATATAGCTGGCGACATGTATTTAGTTTCCCATATTCTAATATATGTACATACGCGATATACGTGCATATATTGTGTGGAATATGTACATATTAAAGACGGCAGCGTGCATAGATGACATTTGAATGTGGGCACTGGCACTTGCTCAGGGTCCCGCCACTGCCTGGAACTGGAGCTAGAGTCTGCCTCTGGTAGTGGCAGTAGCATCTGTTACTAATGGATAGTTGTAGGAAACAAATGGACAGCGCACAGATTCGCACACAAACAAAGTGGCGGGGGCGGTGGGCCGGAGCATTGTGAGGAGGTGCTTGGAATTGGAACGGCAACGTCAACAGCTCGTGCAAACATCTTTGTAGATTTTATTTCTAAATCTCATTACCAAATGGTGTCCCTCTGGGTGCCCAGCAGCACACGTGGTACGTGAAATGCCATTCGGTAGGATACTCTATATACAATGTGTGTGTGCGTGTGCGACTTACTTATCCACACAGACACACACACACATACGCAGCTCTATAAATGCAATAAACTGTAAGTGCGTTACGCCCACCTCACAACCCAAACAGGTTCCTTTCCCCCTCAGTTCAGCTGCTTTTCTGCTATTGCTGTTGCTTTTGGGCCCTGCTCAAGTAAATTTCATCGCATTTGTAGGCGGGGCAGAGGCTGTTGTTGCTGCTGCTACTGCTGTTGCTGTTACTGTCCAGCCATCAATTCGAGGGATATCAGCTGTGGCAAATGTTTTTATAATCGCAAGATTGGGCCAAAACGGCTCATAAGCCACTTTGTTAAATGCGTGCTGCAATGCCATTTGGTACAAGCCCTCGCCGTCGATTTAGACATCAAATTCTCTGGCTGCACTTATGAGATCTAAATTTCCAGTAAAGCTTTTCGGATGAAACGTCGCAGAGCAGACTTTGAATATGTCGTAAGGTTCCGGGAAATTCCACCCTCACGTCTTTAAAAATTGCGATCGTCCTCAAACTCAATTTCAAAGATCTTTGTTCAACTTCATATGCGATTCTATGATTTGTTGGGTGAAGTTTTTGTTTTGTCCGATTTGCATTAAACTTACTTTCAAAACTCTACGCAAGAACTTTATGTATACGTGTTTCAGCGATTTGGGAAATGTCCGCCTGAAACAGTGGCAAAATTTGTCAAACATGTTTTCGATCTAGATTTCATTTCATATTGCATTTTTAAACAATCCTTCGCTTGGGTAGCCTTACAAAAAAAGGACCAACATTTGACACTGTTCCAGTAATTTTCCTGCAAATTGAAATATTTGCACTTTAGTGCCCCATTAAATTTTATGTCGAGTTTTAGCCAGCAGCAACAAGAACAACAGCAAATGCACGACTACAAAAAAAAAGAAGAGAAACAAAATCGTTTCAAAAAAGCACACGACAAAAACTTAATCGCTCGTGTAATGACTGCATTCGACTTTTGTAATTAGCAGACCGTCGAATTCCCTTCCCCCTGAAAATAAATATTAATTTGCTGAAGCAGCCGCGTCCCCGCGTTCCAATACAGCAGCCGCTGCCACAGTCCGCTCCTCCTCCCCCTTTTCGCCCATTACCCCCGTTAACTACCCTTACTCAACCTAGCCATTCGTCGTTTGTTGCTTGCAGCACGAAATTTATGTGCAACGTACAACAAATTTTCACTTATTGCGAGCAACGACAACAATAGCAAGTCGGATGATTTTAGTCGGGAGTGCCTGACTATGGGATATCTTGCTTCTTCCCCTTCAACCAGAACCTGTGCAAAATGTATTCTTGAAAACGTTCGGTCTTTATTGTCCGCTTTTACTTTTAATTATTATTATCATATTAGACTTTTGTTTTTTGAAATCTGGCGAACTATCCAAACCTGAGTACCTATATAAAAATGCTGGGTATCTACCTCTTATAGTTCTCGAAGAAATCATGTCTTAAAGTCGATATTTATCAATATTATGGATATGTGAGGAAATATCGCAAAAAACAAATGTGAAAATCCTCCAGCATATAAAAAAAAAATATATATTTGAAAATTTAAATTTGTCTTATAATGTTCGTTTATATAGTTGAACAGATGGCCAAAGGGGCACGGCCAGATCGACTCAGCCATCCTTTTCAAGAATATACATATACCTTAGCTTAGACATGCGTCCCCCTGTTATTATAGCCCTTTTACCCATCTACAGGGTATGGCCACTAAAACAACAACAAAAGCAGCTGCTATGGACTAGCGAAATGTGTCGTAGCTGCTCGTCCTGAACGTCCAGTCGCCAATCCTACAAATGCGGGTCTGTTGGTGTTTCAGCTGTGAGGGCATGTTTGGTTGCTTGTAGGAGGGGGTGGGATGGGGGAGGTGCGTTGCGTCTGGTACTTGGTTAGTTGGCAGTTGGTTGTGTGCCCCGCTGCTGCTGTTGCTTCTGCTGCTGCGTGACAAGAGCCCGCGCGAACGCTATAAATTTTGTATTTAATTTTCAATTCGTTTTAGTTTTATTGCGCCAGAGCAGCAGCAGCAGCAGAAGAAGGAATTGCCGGAAAGTTCAAGACTTGGCTGGCCGCTTGCCAGATGCAGCAGCAGCAGCAGCAGCAAATGTGGCAACTGCCTCTCGAGCGTGGCTGCAACATCCGTTTGCCGTTTCGGGTTCGTTTTCTGGCCCCAAGTGCTTGGCTGGAAGCTGTTGCGCTATCGTTTTGTAATGTTGCACGTCCAATTTGATTACAAGTGTCATTTATTTGCAAGCCAAACAAAGATACCGCCCGTAACCTAATGAACTAATTTGCCACTCCCCAACCTCTCCCTCAAACGTACCATGCAACTGGCATGTTGCGGCTTGCCTCATAAAGTTTACAATTACTTAATTCGCGCCCAGTTGACCCACATCAAATGGGGTCGTCTTAGCGGCCGTGACGCAGACAAGTGACAGGTGGCATTAACTTGGCCCTGGCGAGCCCGCTTAATTATATGCAAATGCGCTCGTTACCGGCACATGAGCTAGATTTATCGCCGGCTCCTCGCCAAATGATCAACTCATTATTCCGCTGCACAACAGAGCCTGACTGCGACTTACAATAAAAATTACAATGCCAAAGTCCTTTTAAAAAAGAAAGCCAAGTGGCCATGAATACAATTAAGTATACTTGGCGTGCTCCAAAAGTAAATGCTTTCCCATTCATTGGTATCATTATTCAACTTTAAACTGTCAATCCATTGTTTAAATATCATCACCAAACACTAACTGAGATTTGAACCAGCATCCTTCATCACTTGAGAAATTCATTTACCAAGAGTTGATATTCAAATAGAACTTATATTTTATGCTATATATTTTATAAATCGTATATTATATTTTAATTTATTTTATAATTGTAAAAAAAGTAAAAGTAATTAGCAAATAGCTATGTCTAGGCTTAGTTTCAAGACGATAACTTTAAAACGATATATCAACTCGACTGTTGATGCTGATCCAGTATAAATATATATATATTTTATATAGTCGGAGAGTCTTCTCTTATGCGTTATACATTTAACGGCAACCCTCTTAAAGGGTATACAAATAAAAATATAATTATAATAGGTCTGGGAAACTTATTAAAACATATTTGACATTTATTTTGGGTGTAGTAAAAACTCGAAAATAAATTAAATACCCTTTTCTGCATTAAATTAGAGCCTTTTAAGCCATTTATATTGTTTATCTTTTCCAAGATTTGCCAAACAAGAGCTGATTCATTTTTTTTTGGGACTGTTCAACACTGTTCATTAAATTGGATTCGCAAATTGGTGGCAACGCCGAACGAATTGCGTGCATTTTGGCGTTCGCCTAAACAGTTAAGTGCATTTATCTCTCGCTGACTTTACGTGGCAGGCACGTGGCAAAGGCAGCTAAGCCAAAACTGAAAATTTGTGCTTTTATCACGCAAGAAGCAGCAGCTGGCAGCCCCTTACCCCCTTAGCCCTTACCCCTGCCCAGGCAGACAGCAGAGTTAGCTGCTTGCGCAACAGTTGGCGAAAGTTGTTGGAAAATATTTTTTGTAGGTTTGCTAAATAAAATGCCGGGGCAAAGATGAGCAAAGAGCTAAAAAAAAAAATACAAAAATAAATTGCTAGCGAATACTCTATGCCTTGAAATGAGGGGAGGTTGACGTAAAGTAAAATATTCTTGATTTAAGAAAGACATAAAGACATCTTAATTAAAATCTTTGTTTCTCTAGCAGCTAAAAACTGCGGAATATGGTCAAAAACTCTGATTTTAAGATAGATATTTATCGATTATAGAAGAAATTAATATTTACTCGAATAAATTAGGATTTTATTTTACGTAAAATGTGCCCATATCTGTCATTAAGACCGACGGACACGGACAAAGGTAGATGTGCCCTGTTCCAAAACCTATGAATACATATACTTAAATTTTGTGGGTCGGAAATGTCCATGTCTGCATATTAAACCCCTCGCCCATTTTCAATGTGTACAGGGTATGCCAAAAGGAAGAAAACTGAAA